CCCCAAAACCCCAAAACCCCAAAACCCCAAAACCCCTTCATACTGATCTAAGTTGAGAGATTAGTTTCTAAAAATGTACTTTTACTGCCCAAGCCGTTCTTTGAAATTAGTTCTTTGTTAATAATAAGTTCCTAATCTTCAATAGAACAGCTCTCAAGCGTTAGTCTCCATAAGCTCTTAGTATTCCTAATCCAACGACAACTTATTTTCACTCTACATATGAAAATTAGTATAATATTTGGATTGTAGTTGACTTAATCAACCATATACTCCATATCCTCAAAAAAGAATACATCTACTATATTTCTCTCTTCATGCACATTTCCATCATCTCTCTATCCACAATCATTCCACAATAAATTAGTGGTGTGTGAGAGGATCAGGGTTTGTTTGGGTGGTGATGTTGATGTGGGGGTTGAGGTTTGGGTGGAGGGGTCTGGAGTTCTGTGGGGAGGTTAGGAGGTTAGGGGTTTTGGGGGAAATTTTGGAGTGGAGGGAGAGAGATACCTTGGAGGATGTTCTGAAGTTTGAGAATGTAGCAGTTTGAGCAGTCTGGGGCTTTTTTAGCTTATCAAAAGTTTGAGAATGCTGGGATTTTATAAGGAAATCGGATGGAGTACAGAGGCGTTCGAGAGCCTTTCGGCAGTAGTATTGGCTTTTCTGGACCTATTCCTTGGTTTATGGCTAAATGAACGCTTCTGTTTCTTTTTAAAAGATTGCATTGTTTTCAGAAGAATGTTCTGGTCGTCCTTAATTTGACAATAAGGTGACTTCCATTGATCAAATTTAGTCTGGAACAGTTTCTTCTGAACTTTAGTAAGTTTGTTCTGCACAAAATCTTTCATATTGTCTTTAAAAATATTCTTTGAAGGATTCTTTTTATTGGCCTTGTGTTTTGACATATTTTCTTTCTAAGGGTTATATTTGAAATACCGTAAAAGTTTTATAGATGTTCAAAAGCATTTTTGGTCTCTCAATAGGCACAATTCTTCCTTTAAGCTTACTCAATTTACTTTGTAAATTAAGAATATAAGCCATATCGCCCTTTGTGATTCTTTCTTGAGAAGAGACAACCTCACTTCTTTTACAATATTTACTTTCTGAGTTATTTCTTTTCAAGTCGAATTGGTTCTAAATGAAATAAATTGATTGATATAAGCAATCCCAAAAATCCTTATATAACCTACAAAGTTTCTTGTTTCTTCCACTCACTTCCTAAGCTCCACTGGAAGACTTATATCTTCGGATATGTTGAAAACTTCATTGTCGTCAATGTCGGCTTATTCAGTACATCTCTACAAAAAACCTTCAAAACCACTCTTACACTATCGAAATCAAGTTTAAACCCTGTTCTTGCTGCTTCTGAATGCTTTCAAATCCCTTGTGATTTTGGCCTTGGCCAAAATCACCAGTGACTGTATGAAGTCAGAGAAGGAAATTACAACGTTTAAAGTAAAATTTTTGAACCCAAGTAGAGGGATTAGGAGGAGATGTAGAAGAGCAGAAGGGGATTTAGGGGAAGAAGGTTTTTTGGCCTATATTATGAGGGTTCGAGGATAAAACATCCTGAATGGAGAAATTTTGCTTGGAGAAGTTTGACGGAAGGTATGGAACCTAGTTTGTATGCCTTGTCTTTGTAAAAATTTCTGAGCCTTTGAAATTTTTGATAGATAAAGGCTCATAAGAGGAGGAAAATTTCCTTTGAGGTGTTTTAGAGAATTTAGGTTCTTACCTTTTAGTTTTGATTTTGTTCCTGATGACGAGTCAAGGTCTGAGTGAGTCCATTTATGCAGCTTACTTTTTGAAGCTGGCTTTGAAGAACTAAATCCAATTTCTAAACTTGAGCCAATTAAAGTACGTTTTGTGTTAGGATTTATTACTTCTCTAGCAAATTTGCGTATCTTGGTTGCACTTTCTTTGGAATTTGACTTGAGATAGTTCTAAAATGATTACAAACCCTCAAAAACTTGAATTTACAGGTTCTAGGTCGGACTCTGGAGTTCCAAAAATGCTTTCTTTCATGAATTTATCACTGTCAAACTCTAAAATCTTCTCCCAAGACACCTACTCTTCTTATATATCTTCAATTGCTTCTGATTGATATCCTTCGAATCAACAGAATGAGATCTGGCTACAAGCTTCAGCTAGGAAAGCTTACACATAAAGGTGCCGATGAGGTCCTGGTTCATATTTTCAATTTATTTTATCTTTTAAGGGGTTTTGGGGTTTTGGGGTTTTGGGGTTTTGGGGTTTTGGGG